TAAAATAAAGATGATCTTCCTGACCTGACAACCTTTACCCGAGAAATTAGTTTTGTTGGGGAAAGGATCCGTAGCTTTGTTCAGATATGCAGAAGAGGGTCTAAAACTTCCAAAATACAAAGAACCACTGTTCTAGGCTCACGTTTTCTGCGTCTGTACCCAAACTTACAAAGTTCTCTTCATCTTTGGATAGTTAAGTTTCTGAATTCTCACAGTGAAGTGCCAGACTAAGAAATGCAGAAACCCAGGAAAGTACAGATTTTCCCATGAGACACACACTAAAAATGTTGTTATAGTACTACTGAGCCAACATGAAGCACATTTAAGATTTTACTCAGAAGTTTCTGGAAAGTAACCATCAAACTTTGTATTCACATCATCAAGTCTCTACTATGCTCAGCATTCTACCTTATTTTCTAAAGTCATATGACAGGATCAAAAGACCCATTTCTATAATTTTTGTCTGATATCTAAGATATTTATTTTGAATTAAGTTTATCTTTGAGCCATGTATCCATTTATAACATAGCAGAATAAAATCAAACTCATTATTAGGAAATACATTAGTATTTCCCAAGATCACCTGCCACTACCCCTAAAATACTACAGTGCTAACGTGAACTACCCAAATTAAGATCCCTATTGTCCCAGGGATTCCACTCTCTACAACATAATTCCAGGAAATTATTCCTTTCCCTCAGGCTACTTATGTTGAGTTCCTCCTACACCTAACACACACACACACACACACACACACACACACACACACACACACACATCATTTTTTTATTCTGAGGCTCTTTTCCCTCTCTTGGGTCTATTTCATTTGTACTGTGTTCAGAATCTAAGAAGGTCTTTAAAATATTCATTCCAGCAGGGGCCAAGTTTTTCCCTGCCTGTCTAATTCCTTCTGGGCATATCAAATGCCAAGGCCCAGTCAATACTGTGGCTAGAATTGGCTAAGAGGAAACACCTCTATTGACAAAAGTATCATAGAAGGAGAGTTTTTGAAAAGCCAGTTGTAATGGGAAAGCAGGTAAATAGGCAATACACATTTAGATTTTTAAAACTCTAATGTTTTCATTGCGCCATCTATTAACTAACAGCCAATTCCCCTTAAAAGAAAAAAGAAAAAGGAGGTAGGGTGGGAGAATTATGGTATAGCCTATTTCATTTCTAAAAGCCCTCAAATAGAAATGTTTAACACTTCTGTTATACACCTATTTCTGTATTGCTGGATAATCTACCAATAGTAAACTAATACATTAACATTCCACTGAGCCACCACTCAGTTTCTATAATTCCTTGAATTCTCCTCATCCTTTCCTTTTGATCCTTTTTCACTTGCTTTGATTATGGTCTTAAAAATCAGTCTTTCCTCAGTTCTGATCAAAAGAATAGGGAGGCAAATGCCAGGTGGGCACCTGAACTCTTGGAGGGAACACTTTATAGACTGTATGGATGTCTATCTGCTGTTCTGTACATCTGAAACTAATAAAAAAAAAATAAAGTGAATGCAAACTATAAAAAAAAAAGAGTAAGGAGGCAGTCCAGTCACATTTGACCATACATATAACTTACATGCCCAGAATGTTCCTTGAATTTCTTAATTCTAGCAGGAATAGACCAGAGAAAAAGATAACCACAGATAATAGTACTCCAGTCACCTAAGGACTGTCTGCCTCACCTATCAGGTCAGGTCTCCATCCATTCATTCCTATGATCAAGAATGCCCAAGTTTTCACATTCTGGTTCTACATGATAGTAGACTACAGTTTTAAAATAGTATGTTGAGGTGTATAAAATATAGATAACTTTCTTTTTGTTTTTTCTTTTTTTGGCTTATGAACAACATACATTTGTTTCTTACAATTCTGGAGACCAGGCTGTCCAAGATTAAGGCACCAGCAGATGTGGTATCTGGTAAGAGCCCACTTCCTCATTGACAGCTGTCTTCTCCCTGAAACCTCACATGGCAGAAGGTGGCAAGAGAGCACTCTGGGGTCGCTTTTTAAGGGCACTACAGTAGGTTCTCGGGTTACGTCCGAGATCCGTTCCTGCGGCGCGACGTAACGCGATTTTCACCGTTAAGTCAGAACCCACCTACATAAGCACCTACGTCACTCACATGGAGCACATACACAGCAGTAATAAAGTGAAACAGTAAAAAAACTTAAAAGATAACGATTCCTGACTTTTACTTGTGGTAAATAATAAAAAACATAAAGCACATATGTACATACCTCGAAATGACAGAATTTTTTTTAATAAATACTGTAAATGGGAGATGACAACGTAACCACAAAACGACGTATGTCGAGTCCAACGTAACCCGAGGACTGCCTGTAATTCCATTCATGAGGATTCCACTCTCAAGACTTAATTTCCAAAGATCCCCCCTTCCAAATACCATCACATTTGGAAATAGGTTTTCAATTTATAAATTTTGGGGGGCGGAACACAAATATTCATCTATAGCAATATGTGTGTATCTATAAATACATATGTGTATATACATATATATATATATACTAGAGGCCCGGTGCACAAAAATTTGTGCACCTGGGGGATCCCTCAGCCTGGCCTGTGCCCTCTTGCAGTTTGGAACCCCTCGGGGATGACCACCTGCTGGCTTAGGCCCACTCCCTGGGGGGATTGGGCCTAAGCTGGCAGTCAGACATCCCTCTGGCAACCAGGGAGCCCTCGGGGGATGTCCACTTGCCAGCGGGGAGCAGGCCTAAGGTGCAGTCGGACATCCTTAGTGCTGCTGAGGCGTCAGGAGAGGCTCCCACCACCACCGCTGTGCTGGCAGCTGTCAGCCTGGCTTGTGGCTAAGCAGAGCCCCCTCACGCCAGGAGGGTGTGGCCATTCTGGGTGAGGGGCTGATGGCTGTTTGCAGGCTGGTCACAGCTCCCAGCCACCCAAGCGCTCAGTGGAGGCTGGCTGGAAGTAGGTATCTGGGATTTATTTATCTTCTATAATTGAAACTTTGTTGCCATGAGCAAAGGCCACAGCCGGCTTAGGGCAGGCAGGAAGCTTGGCTTCCTCCATTGCCCGGGCAACCAAGCCTCCTGCTTGGTCCAGCTCCGTGGCTGCCGGCAGCCATCTTGGTTGGGTTAATTTGCATATAGTCACTCTGATTGGCTGGTGGGCATGGATTGGGGCATAGCGAAGGTATAGTCAATTAGCATCTTTGTCTTTTATTAGTGTAGATAGATATATAGATAAATGTATATGTGAGTATATGTATATGTATATGTGTGTGTATGTATGTATGTATGTATGTATGTAAAGACAGATAATAGAGATTGACTTTAAGGAACAGGATTATGCCACACAATTGTGGGGCTGACAAGTCCAAAACATGTAGAGTAACAGGTTGGCAGAGAGGAAAATTCAGGGAAGCGTTGACATGGTAGTAGTGAGTCTGACATCTGTAGGCTAGAAACTAAGACAAGGTTTCTATGTTGCAGTCTTTTTTTTCCCTTGAATTTATTGGTGTGGCATTGGTTAATAAAATTAACCAAATGAAGTGTATAATTTTATAATACATCGTCTGTATATGGTGTGTTCACCACCCAAAATCAAGTTTCCTTCCATCACCACTTATCCCTTTACCCTCTTCTCGCACCCCCTTTTGGTAATCACCATACTGTTGCCTTTGGGGTTTTTTTTACTTAATCCTTTCACTTTTTTTACCCAGTCCCCCAAATGCCCTCTCCCTCTGATAGCTGTCAGTTTGTTCTCTGTATCTGTACATTTCTATGTTGTTTATTGGTTTATTTTGTTCATCAGTTTCCACATATAAGTGAAAAAATATGATATTTGTCTTTCTATGAGTGACTTATTTCACTTAGGATAATACTCGTCCAGATCCATCCATGTTGTTATAAATGGAAAGATTTCCTTCTTTCTTACAGCTGAGTAGTGTTTCATTATGTAAATACTAGAGTCCCTCAGCCTGGCCTGCACCCTCTTGCAATCTGGGACCTCTCGGGAGACGTCCGACTCTCAGTTTAGGCCCAATTGCCCCTGCGGGATCAGGCCTAAATGGGCAGTTGTACATCTCTCTCACAATCTGGGACTGCTGGCTCCTAACAGCTTGCTTGCCTGAGTACCTGACGACCCCTAACCACTCTGCCTGCCTGCCTGACCATCCCTAACTGCTCGCCTGCCTGCCTGATCACCCCTAACTGCCTCTGTCTTGGCCCCCACTTGGCTTTTCTTTTTTTCTGGACATCTGGAATGATGTCTGGAAGGTCGTTCAGCTGTCCAGTCTAATTAGCATATTATGTTTTTATTATTATAGATACTACTGCTATTTTATCCACTCTTCTACTATCGGCACTTGAGCTGCTTCCAAACCTTGACTATTGTAAATAATGCTGCAATGAACATAGGGGTGCATATATTCTTTTGAATAGTGTTTCGGGTTTGAAATATAACCAACTTCCCATTTTTAAGAGGAAATAATCCTTTGAGATTAAAATGCTGCTCCTTATCCTTTTCATTTGCACTATCTACTCTTTGGCCATTTTACTTTCTACCAATTCATTCATCCAACCATAGGGAGAGAAAAGGGAGGTGAAAATGAACAGCTCTTTTTCCTCTTCATTAGCACTTCTGTGCTACATATAATATCTAATTCAAAAATTGGCAGTATTTTGCCACCAGTATATCTGGTAGAATTTGGGTAGAATTTGCATATTCTAACATAGACCATTCTGGGACCATTTCTAGGTCAAAATTGTATAATTACCATCTTTAGGAATTTTTTTCTCTTCCTTATCAATAATTACCTCTGATCTAAGTAAGCTACACTGAAGATAGACGTAAAAGAAACTGACCAAATTGGCATGGGAGGATTGTATCAACTGCCTAAGAAAATAACCCCCCCCCCAAATCTTTAAAAGAGAACTGCCCCTGGAGTATGACACTAAGACTGACAGTGGAGAATCTGAGACATGCATGCCAACTTAGAAATAAAGAATATAATCCTATTCTTTTATATACTTTTTATTAAACCTACTAATTCGCCTACTAAGTCATTATATATACAAAAACAATAATATCCAGAGTTCCTAAAACATTTCCAACATATTCAACTTAGGGATCCAAGATTCTGAATATGCCATCACCAAAAAAAATTGCAAACCTAAAAAACAGAAAAGAAAAAAAATTAAACAATGTCAAAAGGAAAAGACTTTCTTAGAAAAGGTCAGTATTTACCTTTATAATTCTCAAAATGACATGTTAAAATTTATGGTTTTTTTCTCATCTTACAGTTATACGTCTAATATTAAAGTCTTGCTTAAAAAACAAGGTAGTTTACTTATAAGAAAATAAATATTAAACTATACTCATACACATCACTATTTAACACTTATTGGGTCAAAATACTTTTACCCTTACAATTTCAGGCTTTAAATTAAAGTGGCATTAGTTCTGTCTTTATCTTCTTTTAAAAACTACCATTATGGTGAAAGGCATTCAGGTACATAAATAAAAATACTAATTTCATTCTTGTGTAACTCGTACCTCTAAAAATATATTTTTAGCCAATTAACAGTGGCTAAAGACTTTGTCCTTCTATCACATTAACTTTCAGCATATTAAATAAGAAAGATAATCCTCAAAGTTCTTCCAACCTCCAAAAGGGTCAACTATTATTTTGGAGAGAAAAAAATTGTTTGGATAAATAAAAAATGAGAATTTCTAAAAAATAAAAAAAATTATTAATCATAAAAACATTAATATACAAAAGTGTATTATACAAAGAATTCTTCTACTATAGGCGTAAAAACCATGCCATTTAGCCCTAGCTGGTTTGGCTCAGTGGATAGAGTGTTGGCCCTCAGACTGAAGGGTCCTAGGTTCAATTCTCATCAAGGGCACGTACTTCAGTTGGAGGCTCGATCCCTGGCCCTTATCGGGGAGCACATGCTGAGGCAACCAATGGATGTTTTTCTCTCTGTCTCTCTCACTCTAAAAATCAATGGAAAAATATCCTCGGGTGAGGATTAACAAAACAAACAAACAAAAAACCATGCTATTTAAACCAACCTATTCCCCTGACTGGTTTGGCTCAGTGGCTAGAGCGTCACTCTCGCATGGATGTTTCTGACTCTTTATCCCTCTCCCTTCCTCTCTGTAAAAAAAATCAATAAAATATTTTTAAAAAATAAATAAATAAAAAATAAACCAACCTTTTTAATTTTTCCATAGAAAATCAAGAATTCAGAGTTCACATTTCCAGAAAAATAAAACACATCAGGCCATAAGGTAAAACAAAGAAACAAACTATTGTACATTGTATTTCTTTAGAACAAGGCTGGGCTGGCTTATTTAAGTATAAATTGAAATCACAGATATAAAATCATTCTGTTCTCAAAGTAAACAGTGCTAGATTTACATGGCATGTGAACAGTCTATCACAGAAAGCCACATACACAAATAAAACACATTATATAAATGTTAAATCACTCAACATCTGAAAAGATACTGTTTGTAAAATGCCATTGGCAATACTGTTTGTAAGAAAATACTGTTTGTAGAGAAATAAGGTCATGTATAGAACTACAGTGACAACTAAGTCCCTAGAAAAAAATAAACATGACTTTAAAAATATACAGAAATGTCAGTTCCATAGAATTTGCCCTCTCTATTATCCTCTAGAACGGGTTGACAATTTCATTTTCCTAGTATCTCGTCAATTAAACAAATGCATAATTTAGGCTAAATATAAGTAAACTTGTGGTACTGTTTTTGCTATTAACCCTGCTACATGTGGAACAGGAAATGAAATAACATAAAGAACCATTTATTAGAACAAGGCTGGGCTGGCTTATTTAAGTATAAATTGAAATCACAGATATAAAATCATTCTGTTCTCAAAGTAAACAGTGCTAGATTTACATGGCATGTGATAGTATAGAATGAGATAGTATAAAATTTAAATTTAGGCAAAGAACCTACATATAGAATGCTATTCCCAGAAGATCTAAAGCCTACTAATTGCCTTATAAGCCTTGCTATGTCTACATATTTAACAGTACATGGTCCATTGGAATAAACTTAATAAGGACAAGATACCCCCCCCCCGCATAAAAATGTTTTATTATAATGAAAAAAAGTACTATTCCCTTCAACTATAAAATAGTTGAAGAATACATATAATAATTAAAATACATATAATAATTAAAGCAAAGTTAACTGATACAACTAACATTAACAGGCACTTTACATTTTAAAAAGAAAAAAAAACACACACACACATACATAAAACATCAAAATTCTTTATGAAAAGAAGAGAAAACTGCGGCAAGAATCCTTACCTTCTAGCTGGAAAACTTATGAAATCTAGAGTGTCGTTTAAGAGCAAACCCTACTTGTTTTTAAAGGAGGAAAATGACTTCAGTCTGCAAATTTATAATGGCTCAGGTGTTTCTATGTAATAAGTATTTTGTTGCTAAATAACTTAGTAGAGCTCACTTTTTAAAAAGTGTGTTTTAACAACTCTAAAAGATTTAATTAATCCTTTTGTTATACATTTGAACCAGTACAGTTAGGACTTGTCAGCATGTTAATACCTTTTGTTCACAACTTTAAAACATTTTTTTAATTTTAAAAAGGAAGGAATTGGGTAGGAGAACAGGCATGGAAAAACATGAAGGCCTCTCTTTCTATTAGGTTTTGCCATTACCATTCTGTTTGAAGTGGTTTCAGGACGAGGCGATCGCACACACCTTCTAGTCAGAAATCAGATGGCCTCAAAACAACCTCATTGTCAGTCTTAGGCCTCATGTCTTTCGCTTAGAGCTAAAAATAAAAATACATGTGAGTGAATGAATAATCATGGAATGAAACTGCCAACATACTATAATACAAAACATTAAAAGCCACTTTTTATCACAGAAAGATGAAAATGCACGCATTTCTATCCAGAGCATCACAATCCTATTTAGAATGGAAGGGTGCTCTCCCCATCCCATCAGCTGCTCAGTATAATACCAATTTAATTCCAAGGTGATACTACAAAGCTAGAGTAATATTTTATTCATCTCCTGAGACTATGGAACGTTCATTTTTTTTACAGAGTTAAATATAACAATATCATTAATGAAGCTAATGACTTTAGACAGCAACTTAGCTCTTCTTTAAGCATATAAATCAAGGCAAGGAAAAAATGTGGTAGGCAGTCAGAAAGACATGAGCAGAGCAAAGATGATGCGCCAGGTACTACTGAAAGGTCATCTGGGTGCCCAGCAAATGGCAAAACTGGGAAAACAAGGACCTCTCCCCAAGGGTAACCTTTCCTCCCCTAGCATATGGCTGGTCATGAAGTTTAAATTCGTGACCTTTCATATCTGTCAAGCAGTCCGGACCCTCCCCTGACCTTCCCTCCCCTGTCATGTTGCTAGTCATGCAGCAGACCACTTGGAAGAGGAACAAGGGGCTAAAGACTAGCCTCACCAGACTCCCAAGTGGGCTTATAAGCATTAACCCCTAGGAATAACATCTAGGCCTCACTGTGTTTCAGCTCCAGGCTCAGAAAAGCAACAAAACCAAATAAGCGATGCCATGGCTGACATCAGGACCCTTGCCCTAGCACTGGCCAATTAGTGAAGACCACAACTCTGAAGGGACACACCTGAAAAACTGATGGCTGATGAATATTTGAAGGCACATATTCGTTCTCGTTCTCATATTCTCATTCTCTCTCTCTCTCTCTCTCTCTCTCTCTCTCTCTCTCTCTCTCTCTCTCATCCTTTCCCTAATCTCTTCCCCAAGGTTCATTTTCCTTGCCTCTCTCTCCTAAACTCTTTTACCTCTGTAATTTGTTTCTTGGGCTCATTTCTTCTGCAGCTCACTTTTTCTACCTCTGTAACTTTCTAAATAAACTTTCTCTTATAGCTTGAATCTTGGCTCTGAATTATTTCTTAGCCAGAACTCAAGTACCGAGGTTGCTAATCAAGGTCCAGTCTGACACCACCCGGTGACCTGGTGCCGATTCACCGCTAACAGAAAGTGTAATATTGAACCAGAACAATAGTCTGGCCCTGAGAAATATATTTTTGACTGTTTGGAACTCCTAGTTCCAACAGCAGTGGTAGTAGTACAGGACAAACTAATCCATTTCTACAATCGAAGTAACGTATTCACTCATTCAACAAATATTTAATATTTCTAAGCTCTGCAAGTCAAATGCCAAATATGAAAGATGTGTTTCTGAACCTCACAAATAGTCTCTATTTCCATATTTTGGTCTCAAGTTTGGTCTTTCATGCTAAAGAAACAGAATATAAGTTTTATTTCTATATCTCCCTGACAGGAAGAGGGTGTGATCTCCAGGCATCATTTGGTCTCTTTAGTGTGAAGCTTATGTTTTCAAAACCCTGTATTAATCCTGATAATTAATTCTTCTTCATTTGGAGAGCACTGATAGTTTCAATCCCAAATATAAATCTCAGACTATCTTGTAAGGTTAAATCAGCCAAGCACCTTCAAAAAAATCACTTAATGTAAAAGTATTTAATTCAACTGAAGCCATAATTTAAAATTCAGAAAGTCTGCTGCAAGTTATAATTAAAGAACTGGCCCCTAACTATAATATAATGAAGACAAATATTTATGAATTTTTTATACCATTCATATACATCCATTAAATTAAATAGAATACATTATCACTAGAGTCAATACCATTGATTAATGTTTTGCATTTCTCCCCTGGTACTAAGTATACCAATTAAATTCTTTAATTTTGTGGGAATATGGTATATTACACAAAAATATATATAGGCATCTGATTCAATTTAAGCTCTGTGTTCATCTTAAATCAAAAGTAATAAATACATTTCTCAGTTAGCTTACCTTCCACAGCTTTTCACGTTAAGTCCAACTAAATTTAATCTAGACAAATGTTACAAAGTGCTTTCACTCAGAAGTTTATAGGACTTAAAGCCAGCTGTGTACTCCTAATACTACACTGAATCCTCTCAATTCTCATTAACCAATCACTCAGCTTCTGAAATGACTTCTATCCTGAGCTTGAAAGCACTAGCTGTCACTGATTTTTAACCTTCCACTTCTCTCAGTATTTTACTTAATATTTTGTACATAATAGGTGTTCCAAATTTACACATCTGACAAGTCATCCTGGCAGAAAATAGGCTGCTAAAAAGTTAATTACAACAGAACAAGAATGCAACCATATTTAATAAGATTTTTTATTAGAAGCATATTTGAAATGGCCTTATGGATTTGCCTCATTTTTTCTCTTACTGATAAAATATTTATGAACTCAAAAAAGAAATTTTTTAAAATAAATGTCCTAGTATAATTTGATTAGTTCATGGACACAACATTCAGATCCTGGGGCTGGCCATCTTTGTGCTTATTAGCACAGTACCTAGGTGCATGGCACCACGTATTTTCACCTTATTCTGCTAAGTAGGCAAGATATCAATTTGCTAGGTTCAACACTTAAGGCCTCTGCCCATATTCCTTTAGAATTATTGATACAGACTTAGAAAGGAATGTAGTATTTTGCCGGGAGCCGGTCCATCCTTGCTGTTTCAAGGGACCTGGCATATATGGCATACTGTTCTTAATATGTTTGCTCACCTTCTTGGCGCTGTGTTTTAACCAAGGTCATCTCTCCAAGAAAGGTTGTTTCGCCAGGTAGGGATTTTCCCGTGAAGTTAGGGAGGGAATAAAACCTCTTAACTAAGTGCCAGGCGGGTAATTAATCACTTTAACTACGAACAATCATGCTTAAGCTACATAACCTTTACCC